GTGTCTTGCCTATGGACTGGTTTTGAGGTTAGGGTTTGTACATTGATTTATACATGTGTTCACACACATTTTTTTCCAAATTTGAGGGGAATATATTAATCTCTATAGATATATTTTTTCTCATTTTAAAGAAGTCTGCCTCTCCCCTTTTCTGTAATTTTTATATATTAATCGAGTCTATGATTTTGTTGTCAGGGTCAGATTGTTTGGATCATTTTGGGTCCTTTTAGAAATAGGGAATCAATTACTCCTACACACTTTCACATCCTCCCAGAGATGTTGATATTAAGTCCTTAGGGGACCAGAAGGTAAATTATTAGAATAGTTTCTTGGGCTGGGAAGATTGCTTAGTGGGTAAAGTACTTGCTTTGTAAACATGAGAACCTGATCTGGATCATCAGAACCCATGTACAAAATGAACCTGTATGTAGTGGTATACGATTGTAATCTCAGTGAAGGGTGGGTGGAGACAGGTGGATGTCTGGCACTTGCTGGCCAGCAGGACTAACACAATTGGTGAGCGGCAAGGCCATGAGAGACTATCTCAAAAGATAAGGTGGACAGCATGTAAAACACAGAATCCAAGTTTGTCTTTTAACCTCTGCACACATGTGAATGTGCATACACACACACACACACACACACACACACACACGTGCCTGCACACTCTCTTTCTCCCTCTCTCTCTCTCTCTCTCTCTCTCTCTCTCTCTCTCTCTCTCTCTTTCCACACACACACACACTCCCTTGTAACTCAGCTGGCTCGCTAACTTGGGGAACCACCAGTTTAGAGAAGTCACCTTTATCAGTTTTTAACTAGGGCATTGCATATGTCATGACAATAAGTCAAATTTGTCTGAATTTTGTTGGATCTAATAGTTACATAGAATTTAGCAATTTCCTACATGAAATAAGGTTCAGAAGAAACTCCATATCTTTAATATTAGCATAAATATCTTCCCATATGCATCTTAGAATAATGCAGACAAAGGAAATACAAGCCCCAGCGAGACTCGGCCTGCACAATAGAGGGCTTCTCTTAAACCCCTCATCTACTCGAAGCCTTACATTCAAATATTAGCTCTTTGTGTGCCTCCATTTGTTCCATGTGACCTTCTGGAACAGTTGGGGACAAGCCCATGCCTGTCACTTCTGTGTGATCAACATGCAGGTTTGAGAAAACAGTTAACCCATGTCTTCTCTTCAAGGAAAGCATTCCTAATTTCTTCCACTCGTTCCCAGATAGGCACCACTGCCTGTTGGTTAAGGTTGATTCCGTTGTTAGGTGGAAACTTGATCTTATCATGACTTCTTTGAACCCTGGTAGTTAGTTTCTAGCAATAATTTTCTGTGATTGAGTCAAAGAAACACAAAGAACATTATTTTAAGTTTCTCCTTCTAGAATTTATAGAAGACTGGGAGGGGCCAACTGACCTGGACCTCCCAAGATTTATTCCCTGTCCTCACCCCTCCTCCCCAACTCACTTGACTTGACACAGAGTCTTTTGTATCCCGTTTTGTGCTTAAGTCACCATGTAACTAGAGATGAACTTAAACTTCTGACCCTCCCCCTCTCCAAGGGCACTGACGCTTGATCTGTTTTGATGGTTGCAGCAGGTGGGACCCGTGGCTTTGTACATGCTAGACAAGCCCTCTACCAGCTGCATCTCAAGCCTTTTCTTCCCATTTTTGACGGTGAATACAGTTCCTCATACACATTCACTCTTCCCCACGTTCCTCAAGAATTTTCCACGTTACAGGTACCCAGGGCCCAAGCAGTTCTTGACATGTCACTCACGGTGTTATTTTGAGAGAGCGACTTCATACCTAGCTGCTGACATAGGGTAAGAGCCTCTAGAAATGGACTGTTAGATCCGCATACCTCCATTCTGTGTACAGAACCTGGCCTCCAGGGGGCGGAGTCTTACATTATCCCAGTTACTACCTAGGATGTGAGTCTCAGCATGAAGCACCTGTCCTGTGAATGAGGAGACCCTGTGCTTAGCCTGTTCTTCCAAAGGAGACCTGCCTTTCACCGTTCACTAGAAACCGTATCAACAGAGGGTCTGTGTGGCTACTGCTCCTCTTCTCCTCGTCCATATCTTCTATCTTTGCTTTCCGTTCTCTTTTCTTCCTTTCCTGCCAGAAAAATCTTCCTGTTGCACACCAGAAATGGACTTGGATGCTGTTCCACAGTCAGGTGTGACACACTGCAAATGGAACCTTAAATGTCCAGAAATGTTGCTCCTGCCTCCTTCCCTTTAGAAGGAAAACACTTTCTGGCCTATTATCAGGTGGCCAGCCTAGCACAAAAGGCAGATGCAAGGCTCTCTGGCTTCAAATCCTGGCCTTGCCAGTTACCAGATAGGTGCTCCGAGCATATCACCTGGTATTGGGCCTCGGGGATACAATGAAAAGTGTATTAGTGCCTACTTCCAAGAAATGCACTGAAAACTAAGTGGTTAATTCACATAAAATTATTTAAACAGTACCTGACATATAATTGGGTACAATAAAAAGTGTCACATTATTATTGAATAAACTATCTGAGAGAGAGAGAGAGAGAGAGAGAGAGAGAGAGAGAGAGAGAGAGAGAGAGAGAGAGAGAAAGAGAATTCTTTCACACTGAGGTTGTTTCCCTCTCCTTCAGCTCCATCACCCCCTCCCATTGGCCTGGAAGTTACACGTTTACATTTTGCTGTGTACTTAACAAAGTCTCCATCAGACACTGTGTTCCCTTTCTTCCCATTATTTTTCCTTTCTTCCCAAGGACTTTGGAATACTCCCACTGGGGTTTCTTTGCAATTTGGCAATTTCACACAGCAAAGACTCTCCACATCAAAGTCAGCAGTGTCCACTTTTGATGCCTGACTTGCTTGCCTCTTGTGTCAGCACTGCAACCCTCTTTAAGAATACCAACAGGAGTAAAGTTTTACTGTTGTGGAAACTACAGACCATTTGAGCTGAATAGGGCCTCAAAGACGGTTCAAACCAGTGCGTTTCAGAATTTCACTGAGCCCAGCAATAAGAAATAACACAGTGGGCATAGAGCGATGGATCTGTGGTTAACAGTAATGTTCTTCCAGAGGACCCAGGTTCAGTTCCCAGCACCCACAATCAGGCAGCTCACAACCACCGAGTCCAGCTGCAGAGATCTGATGCCTCTGGCCCCACACAAATACACCTCACTAAAAATAATAAAGATAAATCTCTGTACAACTGTGGATACACTGTCCCATCACCAATACACACAAGTGTAATGAATACAATTTCAAGAAAACCATAATTCCTTTCATCATCATGTGTAACACACTCTGTGAGTTGTTCCATTCTATTCTGCCCCTCTTTTTAAAAATGGTCCAAACCCTCTAAGCTGACTGCACACCCACCAAAGGATTTATGCCACAGTTTGGAAATCCAGACGTGTCCTAAAGTCCCCGATTTACAGCTGAGGAAGCACAGTCTTTAAGCCACTGCGTGGATCTCTGGGAGTGGTTCAGTACGTGCAGGAAGGAGGACCTAGCTACTCTTTCTGAACTCCACACCCATTCCCTCTCCTATGCCAGTCACACCAGAAAAAAAAAAAAAGACTTGGGTAATGTGCAGTTATAAAACAGAGAGCTAACCTGTTCTGTTATCTCTTGCACATCCAATTTTGGTCCAAGCAGAGTCACAGCTCAGGGGCTCTAACGCAGTACGGGGGACCTTTCTCATCAGCTATGATACTCATATATGGCCAAGGAAGACTCTGCCCAGTGATAGTTCTAACCAATCAGACTCACTAGTAGTTGATATGATTTTATAGACTTGCTTGTTCTGTTTTCCATATTGGCTTTTAGTTCCCTGGCACTGTCTGGCACAGCCCTGAGCACATTGTAAGCTTGAGGTGAATATTTATTGGCTTGTAAGCAATGCATCGTAACAGCACCGAGAGAAAAGAACCACGTCAGGATCAGGCAATGGGTCACACCACCGTGAAGAATGTCATCTAGGGAAGGAGAGCATGCATTTAAAGTCCTAAGAGCTACTTGTTATGAGCAAGGCACATAACGTCTCTGCTGCCAACCTCGTAGCATGATCCTATGAGTTAATCAAGAAAAACATTTCTCCCACCAGGTTTGGCTCCTACATAGAAAGCATATAAACTGCTGACGGTTGCCTGAGGCTGTGTTAACTAACCAGCAGAACAGGGAACCTGTTTCAACATCACTGAGCTGAGAGGGAAGGTCAGAATGATCTAGTTACTCGTGGATGGTGTTCATGTTCCCCCATGGTCTACAAAGCACATTTCTAGTGATCGCACCAGGAAACAATGTCTTCTTACAAAAGCAATGGAGATCACAGCAAACGATTAAGTAAATAGCCTGCAAATATGTCACAGACAACAGACCGCTTAGGAAGCCCGTGTGCATTTGTGATGAATGGAGCTTTTGAACGGATGAAAGTCTAAAAATAACGCCTTAGGAGCCATGGCTGCCAGCCCCTGACAAAGCCCATTGTACGGTGTTACTTGGCATGGGTGAGGTGGGGTGGGGGAGTTGTGTGTGTGTGGGGGGGTGTGCATTAGTCATTGCTAGGATTTTCAAGAAGTTGTTTAGAAAGTCTGAAGTCAGGAACAGCAGAATGGGTAAGAATGAGTGCGAGAGTCCCGCACACAGACGCTAGGAATGGAGCCTCAGTTTCCCCTCTGACCAATGTGAGTAGCTGCAGCAGCCTTCTTACGTGGTCCAGAAAAGTGCTGCGGCTCACGGTGTGGAGCACTTTGTACTTACTTCATAAAGGCTAGCTTTTGTTAATAACATGACCTGTATGAGCAGGTGACTAGTGAGGTGGATATACCCTTCATGGCCAACGCGGGCCCCGGCCGGCGGCTCAACTCTAACCTTCTCTGGAGGATGTAAGTTCCCTTAGTGGGTGAGAAAACACTGACGGCTAGGACAGAAACCCTGAACCAGCATCCAGAGGTTTGAGCGGCCCTCGTGTCTTCCTCTCTCCCCGCAGGTGCCTTCGTGGTGTGCTGGACCCCAGGCCTAGTGGTGCTGCTGCTCGATGGCCTGAACTGCACGCAATGCAACGTTCAGCACGTGAAGCGCTGGTTCCTGCTGCTGGCGCTGCTCAACTCTGTCATGAACCCCATCATCTACTCCTACAAGGACGAGGACATGTACAGCACCATGAGGAAGATGATCTGCTGCGCCCCGCAGGACGGCCAGGCCGAGAGGCGCCCCTCCCGCATCCCCTCCACCATCCACAGCAGGAGTGACACCGGCAGCCAGTACCTGGAGGACAGCATCAACCCTGTGTGCACTAAAAACGGCTCCTAAACCCAGGCTGTCTCCGCATTCTTCCCCTGGGGAAAGAGCAGCCTGTCTAACAACGCACGCCTGAATGCATGGACCGTGTGGTTTGAAGTCTCCATGAACCACTGCTGGGGTGTTTAAGTTTCCATTGTCGAGGAAGAAAAGATACCTTGTGCAGTTAGTGAAAGTGCACAAGAAAGGAAGAGGCAAACCGTGGATCCCTGCTTGTCTGTGAACAGCTCAGTTCATCCTCCAGCCCAGCTCTGCGCCATCTTGCTCATCTTGCCGCCGTTGCCTTTGTGTTTTCAAAGATAGCATTGAAGGGTCTAGGTCAAAAGAAATGATAAACAGCGGTACTCGAGCCTCCTTGTGTAGCTGCCAGACTCTGTGTAGTCCTTTCTGCGTGCATTTAAAGTGTTTAAAAATGCTTTAGCAGTGGGCTTTGTTTTCCCCCAAGGAAACTCTAGCCAGGAGCTAGATGGACTGTAGGAATCTGGGAAAAACCGGTATAGGCTCTGAAGTAAACTTGACTTATAACTTCAGATGAACTTCATGAGGGAAAACGTTTATTGAAAAGAAGACTGAAAAGGTGGACATATGGAAGCCTTTTGTCCTCTAGGTACAAGAGGCTACGTGCTCTGCGTGGGTGTACACCCGCCTCTACTTACACAATTCAGCTTTAAAAAAAAAAAAAAAAGAAAAGAAAGAGTCCACTCAGTGATGATGAGCTTAGTTCATTGTCCCCTCGCTTTCCAGGCTGAGCTAGTGGCTCTAGAAAGTACCTTTGTGTTCTAAACAAGAAGAAAAGTGTCCATTTCTAAACTGGCTACTGTATCGAAGAGTAAAAGATGGTATTGACAGGCAGGCTGGACCTCTTCCCAATGATGTGGACTGTGAACATGACTCCAGCCTGAACCTTGGCGTATCTGGGTACCACCAGCAAGCTTGCTGGATTCAGTGTGCAAAGCAATTGCATAGCGGGTATTTTACCCAAAGCTGCCAGCAACACTTTGTCTTTCTTACAGACTGAATTTTGATCTTGTATTTTTCCCCTTCGAAGACCAATGGAAGGCAGAGCAGTTAAAAACAAAAATAGTGTTTTTCACACACACAGGCCTACTGAGCAGTGTTTTCTATGCAAGACATCTAGAATATATTCTGACTTATCATAAGAATAACTCCAGGACTGGTACTATAGTATTTATGTAGTTTGTAAAAGTTTACATGTTTCCTTTTTGTTTTCGTCCTTTTTTTGTTTTGCTTTTGTGATATAACATTTATGTGCACAAACTACTTGTAATAAAAGAATTTAAGAAGTTATGCTTTGAGACATAATGGCCTAGACTATAGAAATTATAATTTGAAGGCTTAGATTTTTACATGCTTGCTGCAGTACGTGGATGTATCGAAAACTTATGTTAAAGCTACCTATAAAATAAAAATTTAAAAGAATCTTTTCTCCCTTGATGAGGCCCATTATTGCTTTTTATATTATCTAAGCAAAAATACAGCTTGTGGTGACTGTGACTCACATTCTATTACAGAAGAAAAATCAAATTTGCCAAGAAGTATGTACTGTTGGTGTTTTATGTAGGCATTCTGAATCTACAGCTGGCCAAAGGGTGGAGAACTGAAATTGAATTCCAGTCCCTGAATAGCTACTAAGGGATCTTTAAAGGTTTTATTTTAAGGCAAGAACCATTTTTAGTGCCCTGCATCCAAGTGTCATATTCAGAATGGTGTCTGGAGGGGATCCAAAATGTGGAAATGCAGTGTGGAAATGTATAGCTTTTGTTTTTATGCTCACACACATCTCCAGAATGGCACAAGAATAGGGAATTCATGTATATTTGGAAATGGTGATTGGAGAGGTTACAGAGTTCACTGACACCACTCGGAAAATCCAGCCTCTCCTATGGGAGGGGAATCAATGCAAAGCCAGAAGGCAATTCTACGACCCCCGAGGCTGCAAATCTTATTTGCATTCATTGTCGTGGTCATACTGAACAGCTTACGCAGCTTTTGTCAGATCCTTATTTGAGTCTAAGCACTGATGAAGCAAGATCTTGTTTCTACAAACTTGAGGTTTGTAGCATTGACTGTGGCATTCTCATCGTCCTGTTCTGTTGAGAGGAAGCAGTCCAGCATGGAGACTGCTAGCTTAGAAAGAAATACAGTTTTTAAAAAACAATCTTTTGAAATTTCTTGGTGAAATACAATTTGGTTGCAACTGAGTAGTAGAAGTGGGGCCCATTTGAGACATGTGGAAGCCCTGAGTTTGAATGCAATGACAGAATTACCCTGATTGCGATCGTGTAGTTTGAGATACAGCCAATAATAGCTTCCGACATCTGTGTATGACTCCAACTTTGTGAATTCCTTTGTGAAAACTGATGTCTTGATGATTTTTACAGATGCTAAAAATCAAAATGGGTCCTGATGCTCTGGCTCCCTTAGCATTCTGAGCATATGTCCAGCTTACATTAATATTGTCCCAGGATCAAGGTCCCAGCATATGTGGCAGCAAGTGTGACCATCGCCTGCAGCTGTCATTCCATGGAGGCCACAGGGTTTTCTATGCTCTGTGTTTGTAGATGAGCCTGTTAGCCCATTAGTCCTCTGAACTTGGTAACAGTGGTGAGACTCTCTGGCCCTCTTTTTCTCATTGATAGAACAAGTGGAATGAAGGTAAGCCCTGGAAAGACACCATGAAGGTGACTTAGTGACAACTCAAAACTTGTTAGAACCTGGGATAAAAATAGCCTCAACATTACCCTACAACACGATGCATCTCACTGTGTCCTAAAGAGAATTAATAACACACACAGCAGATCTGACTCCTGGGAAGCTTACCGTAGAATCTCATTCTCTTTGTGGATCACTAAACATGGTGTTAAATTGGAAATCCCCACAGCGCCTTCCAGTTTTATGTACTGTCTTCTAGGCATAGAGACTGGGCTCAGGATTGCTTAAAGATGAGAATTTTTAAAGAGAAAGTGTGTTTTACGTAATGGATGCCCTCCCAAACATATCACACAATCTGCTCATAATTAAATGTTAGTTTCCACAGAGATGTAAGTATTAGTAGGCATGATGTTGTGGGCTTTTGTTGTTGCTTTTTTTTTTTTTTGGCCCTGCTGCTATATTTTGTCATTTTCTCCAATGTACCTTAGAGTGTGCTCTTTCTTAACTTATGAGGTGGCAGATTATCAATTACAGTTGTCAGGGGTTTGGAGTCTTTTATCATCTGTAACATCTGGGATAAGGTTGTTTTTTTTGTGCAAACAGTAACACATGGAACATTGACTTGTGTGTGGAAGTTTCGGAGTCCCACCATACTATGCGACACTCAGTGACAATCAGTGATCAAGGTTGGAAGTTCATTGGCCCAACCAGTTTTGAATCTTACAGTCCATGGCTATATTTCAAAAGTTGCAATTTTATGCATTAACACATAATATTTTTCTGTATCAGAAATTTCAAATTTGTACAATCCAATTTCCATAAAATGCACCTACACTTTATTTGTTGTTTAGATTAGAGCTTGCATGTTATACAGTAAGGTTTATTGAATCAAAAGGGGAGGGCTATGTACCATAGCCCATGCATGTTGCATCTTTGTCTTCACTAGGGAAAATGTCTGCTACTTCCTGAAATCACTTTTACATTTTATGGGTGTGCACATATGTTCATGCGTGTACATGTTCATATGTGCAGTGTGCACATGTATATCCATGTATGAAAAGTCCAGAGGTCAATAACAGGTGTCATTCACCAGGACACAGTACACTTTGTTTTTTGAGACAGGGTCTCTCACTAACATAGATACATTTCAGGTTACAAAATCAACATACAAAACAAGCATCTATCACATACACCAATAATGGATTTGCTCAGAAAGAAATTAAGAAAAATATCCTACTCACAGTAGCACAAGAAGTATCATTAAGTATGAATAAACTTAATAAAGGAAATGAAAGACCTGTAATGAAAATGTTAAGGCACCAAAATAAGAAATTACCAAGATAAAAAAGTAAAAAGGCCTTCCGTGCTCCTGGATTGGCAGATTTAATATGTGAACATAGCTATATTACCCAAAGTAATCTACAGATTTGATGTAATGCTCCACCAAAATTCAAATGAACCTCGTGGTCGTCGTTGATATACACCCATGGACGATGTATCTTGATGTCATCCATCCCTCATGTCTCTAGGATCTTGACACAACAGTGAGTAAGAAAGGTAGACATAAAAATCAGGCAAAGTCATTAAGAATAAGACTCATAAGACTTATTTTCCTTGTGATCTTAAAAGAGAAAATGGATCAAACAATTTATAGAATGGAGCAGTATTTGATTCAAGGAGAAAAAGATTTTTGGTTTTTTTTTTTTTTTTTGAGGGAGGGTGACACTAAAGTTTCTTCATTTGAAAGGAAGAGGGTTATGACTAATGCACCCGTGAGGAAATTTTTATGAAATTATCTTGATATAACACATGTGGAAACTAAAACCCATGAGATTAAATGAGTGTTCAAAATAAATTGTGACTAAATCAAGAATGGACTTTACTTAAGTTCCCCCTGAGATCTTTTCTACTCAAAACATGTTAGTTTCTTCATAACTATGTTTAACTTCAGATTCTGAAGAGCCAATGTTTAATGATAATGTGACCCTAATGAAGGCATTTACTCTTAGAGTACTTGGATTTTTGAGAATATATGCTGAAGAAATTATTCCAGCATGATTTTTAGCAACTAGGAGCTTCTAAACTATGTAAATACTCAAATGTATAACAGAATGTACAACTGCAGTCCAGGCCTCCATTGTGGCACTTTCATATACTAGCCAGGTGACAATGAAAAGTTACTCTCTGCCTCAGATTATCTATCTTTCAAGAAAGATGATAATTATGTCTCGGAGGGTTTTATGGTGTTTAAGGGGATCAAATAAAACAGAATAGGGCTGGGCACTGGGCATGCATAGTTACTGATGGAATGCTACTTGGCGATTTAAAATTATAGGCATGAATAATCTAATATCCAAAACATGTATATTATAGATTTTTCTGATGAACTGAATATTGTATAAAGAGATGTGTCCTAAGAATGACTTTAAGGTCTTGGGTCAGAGCTACTGCAAAAGGGGAATTGGTTTTGCAGTAACACGACACCAGAAATAGCCCTTGTGGGATGATTAGAACTCAACTTTAGATGTGACATTTGATGTTGTTGAGACAGAACCCAGGTGGAGATGCCAACAAGGCAGCAAGGTAAACAAACCTAGGTCTGAGATTTCCATCTCAGAGGCATTCATGCATTAGTGACGTTAAAACCCTGAGCTGGGAATTCACTCAGCTCGTGAGTGAATACAGACATAATCACAGGTTGGAGACTCTGCCTCTGAGGATTCTCAGTGTCTGAAAGACAGAGATACAAGAAGACAATCAGGGAGACAGAAGGCAAAGCCTTGCTGAAGGAAAAGGTCCAGAAATCCAGAGACCATGGGGGTGAACAGCTATGCCAAGCACTCCATGTCCAGGCTTGAGGTTTCACTGTAAATTTGGCCTTCAAGTTATGAGGACATTGACAAAGTAGTTTCAGTGGAGCGGTGGGGATGGGAGCCAGCTTGAAATGGGTTCAAAGGAAAATGGGAAGAGAGGTTTGGAAGCAGGGAGGACAGGGTATTTTTGAGGCAATTCTTGTTTTGTTT